GTTTGTAGACATCGTCACGCGATCTTCACGACACTTTTTCAGTCATAAGGAGTCGCGCAACATTGCATTAAGTTAGGTTTTGGAGCCAAATATAAACGTTCTTTGACTTCTGACTTTGATGCATTGGGTTTGTTTCACTACTGGCGAGACAACTGCAATATGTGACGAGATTGCGCTACGATCCACGGGTGTACTAAGTCTTCTCACGTTTTCGTACGTTCACGTACACGAAAATCAAGTAACTATTATTTAGCTGTATGAGTATCGTTAACGTGCACAAATGGTTTCAAGTTCATGATGATATATGTACATTACATTTTTAAAACACATCACTGTTCATTTCCATATCTCCCAGGGATAATAGCACCGAGAAATGAAGATTACAGTAATGATCGCGTTGCATTATTGTTATGATCTATTCAAATTTATAAAATATATTTTGATACAGGAAAATAACTTTCATTTGAAGATCGTGATATTAAACATCGATGTTCGAAGTCTTTTATCACACTGCGCTGAATTTAATAAGTACTATTGCTGTTGTATTACGCTGTTCTTAGTAATACGAAATGTTGTTTATAATTATCGGCTACACAATTTGCTTCAAGACCATTTTTTTCACTCCTATCTTGTTTAATACAAAAATGTATACACCAATTAATTCAGACAAATTATTGTTAAATTAAATACATTTTTAAATATATAACTGAGCCATAGTATTATTTTGCATAATTTATTCGTAGATGTGTTTAAAATGAACTAAAATGAAGATGCCACTTGAGGATTGTTTTTCCGCGAAAGAAAGAGTCGCAAGGGCGTCTTGATCGCAGAGGAAGGCGATGGCTGAAGCACGGTTTTGAGGCGAGGTCTCGTGCGGGGAGACTTCGCCAGTGCCTTTCACGAACGGCCGGGTTCTCTCTGGGGAACTCCCTTCTTGAAGTTCAGGGAGCGGATGCAGGTCTCTGCGTCGTGCGAGGCTGCACAAGTGCGAATGAATGGGAAGAATGAATGGTTATGTATATAATGAAACTAGTATGAATGATGTGTGAATGTAGAGAAAAAGAGAAAAAAGTACCTCACCCGTAAAATAACAATTTATGTAGTATTATAGTATAACAAAACTGATCATAGCGTAAGTTAGTAATGCCAAAGTGCAAGCAAGTTAACTTTAGGTCTAAAATGTAAACTTAGCTGTAAGAAAAAGCCCCTCCTCTAGCTTCTTAAGCAGCAAGGCAGCATTATAAAGTACATAATTTAAAGAGAATAAATTCCCCTTCTTCACAGGGTTACTGTGGAGGGGACAAAAGAGAAAAGGCTGCACAATGAGCAAGTGATTAACTGCTGAAGCTAGTCATCTGTGGTCCCTGTAGTCATTTGAGCATTGCTTACAAGGTGAATGTTACGGATGGAACAGGAAGAACGTTGATTTATTCCGGCCTTGAAAAGGAGTGAATAAGTTGAAGCGAATACTTTATACGACATCTGTTGAAACCGAATAATATTTTCCCGACGTTATTTGATAATCAAGAGAAAGGGCTTGTTTAATCTAAGGATATTCTAAAATGGTCACAACGTGAGAACTTACAAAGTAGGTAAATCCTTAAAAACATGTTTTTATTGAATACAAATGTAAGTTTGCAAGAACGACAGTATGATGTCGTATAATCTATGAATACTTCACGATTTAAACTATTTCAACCAATCGTCCCAAAAACTATCTACTTCACAATAAATACTCTTATATCTTAATTACAAACCAATCAAAAGGAAATTACCTGTGAATGTTTTGTCCATCATAAAAACCGAACTGGTAAAATATGATAACTCTCAATTTTTTCTTTTTTTTCGATACTGTAATATTGTTTTATCTAATCATCAATTTTACTTAGGGTGTGATACTAAAATAGTTCGATTTATAGCTCATAGGCGGTTCAGGTTGCCTTTTGTACATACCCCACAAAAATCCATAAACCTTTCTGAATCAGACGTTACTAAGCAAAATAGAATGTCAAGTAAGGGCCGTTATTTTATATAATTTTTAATATTTATTGTCAACAGAGCACCTAGAAAACTTTTTAAAAATGCTTACTCCATAATCCATCAATTATGGCGTTAGTTCCTGAATTTGAACCACCGGCGAAAACCAAGTAAGCACGTATATATCAAAACTTCATTTTTCAAGTGGGGACATATTGTAGTGAATACCGAAGTATTTATGCGTGATTTATCATGTTGTCAACTGAAGTGCTTCTTACATCATATTTATGAGCTATCTCTTTGTGAGCAATATCATATAATCAACCAGTTCATAATCAAAATTCGTTATATACTTTTACACAACAGCATGTACAGGGACTAACTCAGCGGCTTAGAGCCTAGCAACCGAATGAGTATTAGAAAACATCCGAACTAAACAGGAAGGCCGAACAATTTTTTCTATTTTTTGCGCAATATTTTCAGCTACGTCGTTGTCTTAATTGCGGCGATGACGCAAACATCCTCAACGTAAATTCCACCTAGCTGGGCATTTAAGGCCACCCAGGTTTTCTAATGACTATGGCATTGAAACGGCTAATATTTCGAGTCCCCAACAGCAACAAACCATAAAAATAAAAGCTTCGTGAATCTACCATTGAGCTGAACCGCAAGAGCTGTTTACCGCCGCACGCATGTACGAGTGTGCGCTCTCTCCACGGGCAATTGGCTCTTGCCCTCGCATGCGGTCGCGTGCTGCAGGGAGCGTCAGCACGGACGAGCGGCCACCGAATAGCGCAGCGTTGTTAGCTTTGTAGACGTGCCGATGGCAATGAAGAGCGAACAAGCGAAAACACCTCTTGTTTGGAGAGCAGAGCGGCTCGGCGTCTGTGCCAAACAACTTAAATTGCTTTTGAGGGGATTTGTGTCCCGTTGTTAATGTGTCTTCGAATACGCGTCGCTCTGGAAGAATTTATCGAGGATTGAATGGGTTAATTGCGATGGTCTGTATATGATTACTGTCGAAAACTGTCCACGGGTTTTACACTAATTTTCTCTCAATATCATCAGATTATAAATTGACAGAGGAGACATTTACGTAATTATTGTTAGTGTGTTGTTAAGAGTGGTTTGAGAAAACACATTTAACTAACGATCGTTTTAAATTCAGGAATGGCAGATCCTTCGCATCTTATTATCATATCATGTACTGAGTGCTCGTACAGATGACGAGAGTTTTAATAACAGATAATGAAATATTGAAAACCCTTGTCATGAAGAATATACGTTTTAAGATTATTAAAAACCCATCGTTTCTGTATTTATATGCATTTTTATTGTATGAAAATTTTATTTTGAATTAAATACAGTATAATTTATCAAGGGTATGCTTTAATATATTGTAACTCAATTTTACTTTCATTAAACATTAAGAAACCGTAAATAAAGTTTAATATTACTGAATTCATTAAATGTGCATATAAAAATTACTTTTTTCGCGTCTGTATGCATGTACGCATGTGTATAGAGTGAAAGAATACTCATGTACATAACATTCTGTCCTTGTCTATTCTTTGTGTATACTTCTTATTTTGTATAAAATTTCGATTTGGAGAAATTCATTATCATGATAAAAGATCTCACTGTTACGTACTATTTCAGATACATCATTTTACTACTTGAATGAATAATATTTTCAACTCTTTCCGTTTCGTGCAATCTCGGAAAACATGAGGGACTTTGGTGACATAATAAAGATCTGAAACACCCACTAATAACACAGTAGAATCTGTAGAAAAAGAGAATCGTGAGAACATCGATTAAGAACTCTAGCAAGAAAGTCAGTGTCTCCTGTTATACGAATGGCGACATATCTCAAGCGTTAAATGAATGGCGGAACGGATTGCAACGAAATCCGGCTGGCGTTATGAAAGGAACGTTGTCTTTTTGTCAGATTCTCTGCTACGCAATATTGATGGACGTTTGCATTGTTTTTTCTGACCTGGGACAGTGTAAGGTTTCGTAATCTCTTTTCTTCTTTTAGAAACAATCGCCCCCCTACTCTTAGAAACTGCAGCGTTTACGATAAGACAGTGTGTATTTAACATAAAATCATGTAGGAAATATGTTTGCTACAATACTACTTTCGCCAACTACTTTTCTTACTTTATGGATGCGATACAATCGGGATGGATCGTTTCAATCTGAAAATTTTCCACCCTAAAGACAAACAATAGAAAACATAGCAAGCTATTTGAATTGCTAACAAAGAATCCGATTATAATAAAACCCCTCATGAAGTCGTTCTCTGAAAGAAAAATATTGAATAAATATTATTGGTTCTATTATTAACAAATTTTGAAAATAGTTTACTAAACATCAATAATGAGGTGAACATAATTTGTGAATATTTAGTGAATAATTTATTAAATTAATTTTAAATTCTGTTAAATTAGTTAATTAAAAAAATTTGTTTCATTAATTTGTAACAACCTTCTTTATAAGAGCGGAACGTGGAACTGAGTAATTATCCGTGTCAGTCGTAGTCATTGCTTCTTATTTCTTCGGCCAAGGGCTCGGCGCCAAAAGATCACAGAGATTCCCAGGCCGTAACCCATTCAGGAACTCGCGATATGTCGAGTTATTTACTTACTTGCACTTCACGGACCGTACTTAAGCGATTCGGCTAGCGACACCGAAATTGAATTACATTAAATTGACCGTGATTTTAAGTATTTGCGGAAACATTTATTGAATGACATTTTAAGTTAACTATATTCTAAATAGGTTTCTTTTGCGCATTAAAGAGCACAGATTCATTCTTCTTCCGTTTATTCCAGACTGTAGAGTTCTTTCATGAAGAACGTTTTTCAGTCTGATACAAAATGATTTTCTCTATCTTACTCCCTAATCACAAGTGTAAACCCCATGTCTCTGGCATACTTGTATTCATTCTTTCAATTAGTAAATGAATAGTAGTTTATAATTAGCAGGGAAGTTTTAACTCCGGGTGTTTTGTGTTGCAGGACGGCGCTGGCGCCGCGGGCGCTGCTGCTGTTGGGGGCCTTGGCGGCGACACTGGCGACCCTGGCGGCCGCCCCAGTCGACTCCGAACCACGCATCATCACAGAGCCCGAACCGGGACAGGAATTCGTACAGTTGATGGTTTCGTCACCGCAGAGAGACGCAAGTATGTTTTCACATAATTTTTATTCTATTTTTTATCATACTGATGAGTTATACGCGAAGTATCTTCTCTCAAAAATATCTGAGAAGAAGTAATTAATCCGGCACGATTACATTTAGCATTAAATGAAAGGTCCAGATGCCCCTTTTTACGTGTTGCTAATGCAGTGGGGACTATTAACTCAAGGACTGAGCATTTCAAATACATTTTGTAAATATTTGCATAATTTTAAGTCTTAGTATAAAATAGTTACATTTATTACTATCTTACGAAGATACATTCGGTGTTTATTTGAGATAAAAACAAAATAGGTTTTGTCAGACAAATATTTGAGTGAGAAATTCGATACTTTTGTATTTAAAATATCAGAAGTTGAATAGTATTTAATGTTCAAATTAACTCACATGTGTATTATTAGTTTACAATTAATTAATTTATTTATTTATAAAAATCAAAATATTAATAAAATAAAAATTCAAGCGGTGGGCTCTGGAACATTCTCCATCTGGTAATGCACGAGACCATTTATACCTTGAATAATTATGGTTAAATAATATTGCATGACCAATGCATGAGGCTTCCTCAAAGTACTGAAGTATTAGATATTTTAATCAGAATTATTATGAAAATAAAGGATAAGATTTATAGATTTCTTGGCACAATCTCAATACTTTCAAACTACACGTCACCCGAGGAATGCAACTTCAGAAGGGAATAAACAAGACATTAGAAATCTTTCATTTCATACTATTCTACCCTTTGAAAAATAGTAGGAGGTCGCTAACCAGGAGGAGCCAATCCAGGTAGCCGAGATCGCTAAGGCAGTATTGTCGCGGCGATCTCGGATCGAAAGCTCACGGGTGCGAATCCGACTTCACGCGTGGATGTATTTGTGATCGTCCTTTCACCGTCCTCATCATCCTATGACTTCATTAAAGGGGTGTGAATAATTTCCTGCTCAAGCAGGAGGCTCTTGCCCTTAATTGTATGTGCAATTAGCTAATAAAAACGGGAGGGAGTCGTAAGCATTTGCTTACCCTGCTTACACTTGCCATACATTCAGCTATAAATATGCACAAAATAATTATAAGACCCTTGCTACAACACGCTTGCCCAATCTGTTGAAATGCATCAAAAACCAAACCGCGCAGGAAGCTGCAAATAGTACAAAACCAATATCGCAGAATTATTTCAAACACTTCCTGGTATGTCACCAATAATCAGTTACACAAAGAATTTGACCTAGAGACTATACATCATCATATCACCTATCTAGCTACCAACTTCTCAAACATACACCAAATCCCTTCACTATCACTTCATAGACTTGGCAAAAACCCTTCACATAGGACCAGAATACAAAATAAATTTCTCTTTCACATTTTCCTCAAGAAATTCTCAACAAAGTAGATCGACTAGAGGAGCCCGATGAATAAACTCAACCTCTGTATTAGTTTTAAGTTAGCTATTAAGCCATCCATCATATGTATAGCTAATTTAAACTGAACTATGTTTCATCATCTGTGTAAATAAATGAAAAAAATGACACAAGATAAAAAATTAAAGAATTAAAAAAATTTTTAAAAAATGAAAAAATTGAAAATAAAATAAAAATTAAATTTTAAAATTTAAAAGGTTTAAAAAAAAAATTAAAAAATTAAAAAATTAAAAATTTAAAAAATGAAAACATTTCAAACTATTAAAAAAATAATTAAAAATTAAAATAGTGAAAAAAAATTAAAATAAAAAAATTCTTACGTGAACACTTCGTGTGCCCAGGAGACGCAACGTCGTTCGCGACGTCGCAGCATCCGCACCGCGAACCGGCCGTGTCGGACGCGGAGCGCGGAGGCTGGAGGCGGAGAGGCCCGCGCCGCCGGCGGCCGCGGCAACGCGTGCAGGCCTCCACACCGCCCCCGACCCGCCGCGCCGCGCCGCGGACGAGCTGATGAGCCGAGCCAACGCGCATGGAGGAGGAGGCGGAGGAGGGAGGTGGGAGGAGGAGGTGCGAGGCGAGCTGGGAGGAGGCGGAGGATGAGGCCCGAGGATGGTGGCGGAAGCGCTTGAGGGCGACCGGCGCGTGCTGCTCTCCCCGCAGGACACGTTTGCCGCAAGCCACCCGCCCCGCCCGCGCAGCAGTGAGCAGGCGCCCCATTCAATGTGTGGCAGGTTACTGTAGCGGAAAATATACAATTGAAAAAGCCCCATCCATGAATTGCGCCCCAACCTCGTATTCACCTTTTTTTTTTTATTTAACAAATCACTATTTTAAGTATAATCAAATAAAAATATAATATAAGGAAAATTAAATAATTTTAATAGCAACAAATAGATTATGGGCATTAATGTTCGTCACCAACAACAGAGCTGCGAGATGGTTTTGAGAAGCCTCCTTCCGCCAAATATAATGTATTAATTCCTAATTGTCATGTTAAAACAAGGAGAGAAAAATCAGAAATGCGACAATTCCATGGAAATAAAAATGTTTTATTACGTAGGAACTGCGACCGCCCCCCCCCCCCACCCACCTTCGACAGTTTCAGGGGCTGCACGCCCCCCCCTACCCGCCCCATGCACTATCGCCTATGGCGCCGAGCAATCGTTGTCATGATTGTCAGTATCTAGCTTTTCCCGCACATGTTTAGAAGTAGTGACTCTCCTAGATGGGTATGAATGGTGTGATGAGTAATGATGATGGTCACGAATAATTTATTGTTTTAATTATTGATATGAGGATAAATTAATGTTGGTGGAGAATAGGTGGGATAAGATGCAACTCTAACGAGAGATCTTCGAAAGAACATACCATGATCTCGCTTCAACCACCACAAATTACTCACAGGTTGATCTTGATTTGAACATTGCAATAATTACGCGATATATTTTGGTCACATAAGGGAAGAAGCTTTAATTCTTTTTACTAGTGATTTTATCCAGCCGGCAGCCGGATACCCTTTACGTACCGATGGAACGTATATTTGTTCACATACTAGACACCAAAACACTTGTGGGCACCTCTGTTATTGGGGTCAGCAGAATACGAGGCCTTCCGCGTCAATAGATAGGAGTATATGAGAGACGAGGGACAAACAACCATGCCGAAGTCGCGACCCTTCGACCCGAAGCGCTGAGCCGGTACACTGTTAGTCACCTTGGCTATCCAGGTCGGTGGCTCTAATTTACTTCTCAAAAATAGAAGTAGACCGCCCATTTTCAACTGCTGATCCATGAGAATTTGGATGGGGACAATGAGGATTTGTGACTGTTTTTTGACATTTATTCCGCATCTCGTTTCACTATTACTCTATTTCATTGAGTGATCATTTACTTCATTGTGCGCCATATCACAACTAAGATTAAGAGAAATAACTTGTCGTAATCAGTCATCAATCAATTCTATACTTGAACACTATTCGATTGAGAGACACACTGTAATGAGCCCATTGTCATTATTGCACATGTGATGTGCGTGGGATAAAAAATATATAAAAGTAATCATTTAAAATGTGCTAATGTAAACAAGTGTTCTGGTGGGGTTTGAGAGACTCGAGAGAGAAAATAATTTCCTGGTCGCAGTTTTTGAAAATATTTCTGACAAATAGAAAAGTATTTGATCCTTCGTGATACTGTATATGCAACACGGAGCTCACATGTTCTAACCCTAGCGTAAATATTAAAGGAAATACATTTGAATCACACGTTTTTCACAAATTTTTCAAGTTTCGTAAGATTCATGACCATAAGATTATGAGAGTTACTTTGCATACTCCTTTCACTCGAAGATCAATACGCCTGACAATTATGAACAACAGTTCTTTAATGAATATTTTATTGTTTAAAATGAATCACGAAATTAAAAATAAAATAAGAAATTCAATACCCATATTTAGAAAAGATTTTAGCAATAGTGCTTCACCTGTTGTCCTTTAATAAAACGCCACGTCGGTAGTACCGCATATTTCCGCTCTCGTGAAGGCCTCTTGTTCTCAAAGAATAGGGTAGATCTTATCTGATACATGTTTCTTCGTGTTGCCGACGTTAACGCGGACACTCTGTGAGTGAGCCTTTATTGACGAGGGAACAAAAACAACATTAACGGTCCACATTCAAGCTAGCACTTTCGAATTATGTCCTTGGTAACCAAAGAGGCGGCAATATACTACAAGATGAAATAATGTTGTACGTTTATGAGATATCATAACGATTTCATTTCAACGACAAGCATTAGTACGATTAAAATAATGTTTGGTGTATCTGCTATGATTACTAGTTATTGACTGTGGAAATTCATTGCCTATTACATTAATTTTCATCAATTCAATATGACCAACAAAGGGGACGAAGGAGAATATTATTTAAATTACGTAGGATTTAAAAATAATTTTATTATTATTTTTATTATTATTGCTGTGATTATTATAACAACTAGAATAATAGTAATACGCTGGAGTGCAATTCAAATTACACGAATGTAAAGATACGCACATCAGCAAATACATAATATTATTTAGTTTTCTGTGAAAAGTGAACGCTACCTATATTTTAATCCACATTCTGAAAATTCAAAAGGAATGTCGTAAAAAGAAGAGATTCATTAATTTCATTTCCATCTGGAAAGTCAACGAACAAGAATATTGTCATACGCTATTTATGGTTTCAGAACAAACACACTTTAAGTTGCAAGAGTCACTTAATGAATAGAATACGATAATAGAATTAAATACAAAAACAGCGCACTGTGTTATGTATATTTTTTTAATAAAGATAAGATTTAGCAGATCATTTATCGCACCATGCTCAGTTTTCAATCATTAAAAAATATTTATAATGTTTAATAAATATTTATAATGTTTAATAAAATATTTAATAAAATATTTAAATACTAAAAGATTTAGACATTGAACTGATATTTTATGATTCAGACCTGTTTTTAGAAAATAAAATTGCCCAATTTTACCACCCAATCATAATTTAAATTATTAAGTAATAATAATGATAACACATGCAAAATCAGCATGAGCACGGGCATCTGTACGTTATGGATTAGGAGAATTCACCGAGAACTGCATTGGAGCACTGAAGAGTGTCTCAGTTGCCGGCTCGATGTTCCATGCGTGGTCTGTCGTTAAACAAAGAGCATTTGTGTGCTGCGGCCCCGCCCCTGACCCGCAGCGCTCGCGCGTCTGTTCGCCGCAGGCCGGCCGTGCGGCGTCGCCGTTTGGGCACAGCTCGGGCGTGGCCCCGCGGCCGGCGCGCCGGCGCCGACGAGCGCCCGCGTGATGCGCGCGCCAAGCTGGGCGCGCAGCGCGCCCCGACTCCGGCGCCCGCGCCCCGCCGCCGAGGAGGGCCAGGGTCATTGGCAGCGGTGCGCGTCACGCCCGCCGCGCAGGACCGGCGTCGAACCAGAGGCCCGCCGCCATACCCGCCCGGCGACCTCTCGCCGTGCCGCCGCCAGAAGCCACCTGCTGCCCTAGAGATTGCCCCCGCGCCGCAGCAAAGGTGAGTTCGCGGCGAAATCCGCGCCCAACTGGAGGAGCGATTCGCAAGAATTCTGTTCTTGCAATACACTACAGTAAAAAGTTAGTGCGTAGTAGTGTAAGTATACACAAAGAAATGAAGTACTGGAGTAAAAGAGAATGGATAAGTAAAACATTATAATCCAAAGGCGAATTAACCCGGTTTGCTTTAACCATTTATTAAGCCAAAACAAAGTTTCACCCAGATGTAAATAAAACATTTTGTGTGGGAGCTCACAAAAACTAGTTAAACGGTAAAATCTTTGAAAATTAATTTAGAGCTGACCATATACGTTTTGACCAAAAAAAAAGTTGTTTATATTGGGTCAATTTCCGGTTTTGTCGTCTTTGTTTCTGTAAGTACTCCCTTTTTAACCTACTTAACACGGAAAAACACTTTAACCTATACCGAAATAAAACTTTTAAACCTACACGAAAAAAAACAAAGAAACAGTTGCATGTATACCAGATCCCATGATACCTGGAACAGACGCGGAACTGTTTTAAAGTTTCATGGATCTGGTATTACTGCAACTGTTTTCTTTTTTTTTTTTTTCGTGTACGTAATTATTGTCCTGGCTGTGGCTTTTAATCCTGGCAAACGTCGAGTTCAGGGGCCTACCCCCACAGGAGCATATTGTAGTTCCGTTTTTAACTACCCTAGCCTCCTCGAGAACGATGATACATCCCTTATTTGTATTACCTCCCTTCCCAATTTTTATTTGCCGCACACCATCTCTGCATCGATCTCGCATAATTATTTTGCAATCCTCCAGGGCCGTCCTTAAAGGACTTTGAAAGTACCTGCGGGAATGCATAATCACCCCTGTGCAGTTTTTTTTTAAACCAGGTTTGAAACGAGCTGACACCCAAATAATTTTCACTAACGAGCTTACACAATTTGTATTTAATTTGAGTAAAGTCCTGATAATATAGAAACAAAATCAACAATATTCATAAATTATAACAATTCTTTTTTTCCGAGTCCATCGTCGATTAAATACTTGGATAAATGCCCAAATTAATTCTGGTGTGAAACGCCGAGCATTAATGTTTCCTACAACATTTCTATCACTACCGGTTGCCCACAAGGAACCGACAGATTCCGGGAGGTTTCTAAAAAGACGAATTCGCTACATAGGTACTAATTTTTCGACACTTAGGTATCCAGATAGTACACCCACTGTTTACAACACTGTCTGGAGGAAAATGCTAGCGATCGCTTGATCTGCTTTATAGTTTTCCGTAGTTTTTTCGCCAATCAATACCAGCGGGCCTAAGTGCCAATGTAAACCGTAACAAACAAATCACAGAGAAGCCGCCGATTTTGCCTCTCTCATTCTTTGTTCCCACTTCAACTTTAACACACGCTTTACCACTCCCATGTATCTACTCTGCCACCCATGTCGACAGACCAGTTGCGGCGCTTCAAGCTTGACCCGACTGGACAAATGCCCTTCATGGGGCGAGCTTTTGAGAGCGAAAAATCCCATAAGTCAACATGCAGGTCCCTCGCGCGGGTGATCGATTTTGTTTCACCAGGACGTGGTCATTCTGTATGCCCGGCATACCGGGAGAGGGCTTATGGCATTCGAGTCGTTCAGATATGGTCTGGCAGTGCCTGACAGGGCGATTGGGTGTCCTAGCGTTCGAATCTCGAAGCTGATGTTTTCAGAAGATTGTGTGCGGCGTATCGACTGTGAATTGTCAGCTAGCGCTTATAAGGCAGCCGCTTCTCCTGGAAAGAGAGGTAGTGTGTCGTGAGTTGCGACCGCTGCTCTGGTCGGATAGTTTTTTCCGTGGATCTCCGATCAACCCCAAAGCGAATGCCCCGGTGTGTGGTGTTAAATCAGTGTGTTTACCTTAACAAACGGGCCACGGACCGCGCGATCTTTCCTTCCTCTTCCTTCTTCTACCCTCCACCCCTTACAATTGCAGACGTTTACGTATTTTCCGTTTCCCTTACATGTTATCGCCCCACTTGTCACGAGGGATCAATCTGGAGCGTAACGCTTCGGTGCGTCTGGCGGGGCGGCTGCCACCGCTGATGGGAGAGCCTGGTTAGGGGGAACCCACCGCTAGCCGACCGGCTAGATCGGTGAACGGATCTCCCCAGTGTGTGTTTTATAGCGGTGGAATATCACCGCCAACTCCTTGAGCCTAAACAAAAAGAATGACCTACCACGTACGAACTAATTACCTTAGCCGTTGGCATGCGCCAAATCAAACTTTATCCCTGACCAAAGCAAGTTTCCCTAACCAATCAATCAGTAATCAATCAGTCATCAATCGATCAATGAATCGCAAGTCGGTCAATCAAAGCCAACTTCCAGGGAATAAAAAATGCACCAACACATACGGGATTAATGACTAGCAGTTAACGTGGCGTGGAAACAATCAGTAATCCAATTGACCATGTCCGCGTTTCTGGCTGTGTGTTGTTTGCAGCGTGACGCCCCGTCTCCCGGGCACGGCGCCGCCCAGCCGCTGGACGCCGCTCCCTACGGACGTTGCTGCTGCCCGTGGGCACGCCCACCCCGCGCCAGCCCAACGCCCTGCAGGCCGGGTGCGCCCTCAAGCCGTCTGAGGCGGCGCTGGAGGGCGCGGGCTCGGACCGCGGCGGGCAAGCGCTTCGGCGCGTCGAGGATGCCCGCAAGGGCCCCCAACGCGCCAGGACTTACGAATACGAATACGTCTACTTACTACTACAACGACGAGGAAGGCCGGCGACGCCGACGCCAAGGTGAGCACTCGCGCACGCCCGTGTGCCGCCGCAGGAGTGTTTTGAATTGAATTGAATTAATGCCTTATTTTAACGTTTGGGCCCGTGTCTGACCACGCAAATTTCGATACGCCTGCCTTTCCCCAACTAGTAGCAGGAAGGTGGGTGGCTATTTCTTGGGCCGAGAAAACAGCGATTTTTGGACATTTAGATCAGAGGGCGTCATTTAGCTGGGATCTTTTACAATGCAAGTAAATCTACTAACATGGTACATGCCCCCGGCTTTACTTCCCCTCCGAAGCTTAAGGTACTCGCTATAAAAAATACACGGCCTTTTCGATTCGGGTTTTTGAACCTGCCAATTCGGGGTTATACCACTTTGGTATACAACCTTGGGTTGTTTGACACGGTGGAACTAACGAATCGACGCAACGGAGGTAGACGCATAATAGCCAGGCCTATGAAATATCAGCCCCCTAATTGAGGTTTCTTATTCGAAATAACTTTTACTATTATTAATGACCGACAATAATGGCGTCAAAAAAATGGCCTTTGGAGGATAAAAACTTCTTTACGACAAGATGGCTCCCGTACTTGGAAGGTATGCCTGCGCCCTGTGACTGCATTGCATAAGGATCGGAATGTGCGTGCGGGTAAAAACTAAACGAAATCTAGTTGTAAGATGATAGACGATAATTATCAGGACTCAAGTACAATACCCCCATTAAGATTGTACAAGAATATACTGTTAACTACTTTTTACGACTAATTGAGGATGGCGACGCCTACGCAGTGGTATAGCACTCGCCCTGTATCTATTGTTACATATGAATTTGAAGATAGTTGGATAATATGCGACCCGGCAAAACTAAACAAAATCTCGAAAGCCAAGTTAATCGAATAACAATGCAAGTATCGGATACCTACGCTGCGACGATTTACAACGGGGTACAAGGTTCGTCAAGCAACGACGCGTATGCCTTGCACTGGTTTGATAACGGTTAGAACGCAGGTTCTCATTAGAAATCTAACGCATCAAGAGAGCCAGAGCGACCCACCCGCTAAGAAGCCTTGAATAACTATCATTACCTTATTAATTACTAGGCTTGTCCGGTTGACGACGCGTCCATTGGCGAAGGTGCCAACGTTTCGGTCGCCATTCTGCGAACCCTCCTCAGAGCGTAATGCCGCGCTTTCCGTAATTGCTGGGCGTAATGCTAATAATGGGCTAATGCTGAAGTAACTAAGGTTGCAAGAATGGCGACCGAAACGTTGGCACCTTCGCCATGGAAGTGCGTTCACCCCGGACAGCCATAGTAAATTACTGACCTCCGCCGCGCGAAGCCTACGCTCCTATCATTTTCCCTTATCCGATGAATGTATTAGTACATATTTTACGTCGTTTTTCTACGAGAGATGTGAGCAGCGGCTATGACGCCAAGATACAAAAACGTACTCGAATGATAGGGAGTTAGGGATAGATAGAAATCTGCAACTGCATGTGGGATGATATCGCCAAGGAGACGTATCGCAAACGGCCAACAGGCACGAACTGAGTTATGGTATCATTCCCTTATTGTATGAGCTGCCACGAATGGCTTTTTATTACTTCGCCGACATCAAGGAGTTCGCGACGCTGAGGTCAATAGTAACAGACGATCTATTAGAATTGTAGTCCGTGTCCATTATACTGTACAGAAGTAGCTAGTTCAAATAAATATCATTAACGTCTAGCGAGAACAAGGGGTGCTTCATAACAAGTCTAATTTTTTGCTGATGCACAAACACGCGCGCGGAAAAAATCCTCCGCTGCCACCAAGTTATACAACTGGCTTTTTGGATAGTGCTTTCCCCTTGATTAGTAAGCAAATGATTCTTCCATAGTGTTTAGGTAATATTTACGAACTCTGGGCAGCAATGAAAATCCTGACGTCAATTAACTGTTTATCAAAAGAGCAACGTAAGTAACTTGCAAATCATTGGACGCATTGTAAATAAATACTAGTATAACTCCATTATTAGAGAAGTTCTCAACAATGATCACTGACTAAACGCGATCATCTTTGACTCACAACTGCAGTGCCTTGGAGGTTTTGTAATATTTATTCTGAATCACCTGATACGTTAACAACATACGCTAGTATGAAGCAAAAAAGTTAAGTTAATACTTTGAACTTTATTTTATATCGTCTGGTAACAGTTGTTCATATTTAAGTACTGCTTTATAGTTGCGACATTATATTCAATAACGTATAGATTCTGTTTATTTTTCTCATGCGCCTGCAAAAATTAGACGTTCAAATTATCTCTTCATTGAATATTTGAAATTCAGTTACACCTCTAAGCGTTCTCCGCCTCTTCGAATTATTGGCGCTATATTAGAGTAAACAATTTTTGTCTGTGCTTAACATTAGCTATAGATAGAATGAATCCCAATAAGATTTATTATTTATAGGAACGGCAAGTCGATAGCAATGCTGTGAAGATTTGAAACGCGCACAATACTATGTAATATTCAAAGGGTAAAATGCGTTTGGGCTATGGATCTGTTAGTTTAATTCCCGACCAGAGCTCAAAAATTTGACCATTTACTTAGGGGGTAATAGCAGAATTAACTTATCTAGAGGTTATCATTCGGATTTTGAAAATAATTTATTTTGCAGAAACTTCAAATACTCTTAACGGGATGCCTACCAGCAGGCAACGATGGCTTTGATGCTTTGATTTGAGTTGTACCAACGATGAACACGGAATGTGGTGGAATTTGATACTTCAATGTGGTATGGTTATGCGCGCACGATGGAAGTGTAGATCAGAAAGATAGATAGCAATTAGTTTATACGTTATTTTTTCATTAATCTTCCGCCAAAATTCGTTTTTCGATTTTTTCTCGTACAGTGCGCCATTCAAGATTCCATCTAGTACTGCTTCCCAGTGATAGCATGCACCAAGCATATGGACACAACAAATTTAGTTACATTTTCATGTTAAATCACTCATGTTTTTAGAAAATCAAACTTTAGCAGCATTCTATATCAATGCTTTCATAGCTTTCTGTACGCGTCCCGCGTTCGAATTCCGAAGTCTGTACGGTGCAATTTTTATCTGGAATTAATTATTCTAGGCATTTTTCGTGAGAAACGAATATGTTGTTGGGGATGTCACGCTCCTCCAATTAGCTCCAGTTATAATTATACTCTTAGCGCGCGTAATACTTGAATAATAGTCAAGGATTGTTGTAGTAAATTAAATGTTTTTGAATGGTAATGCTATAAGAATGTGGTACATTAGTTCATAATTTAAATTTTTAAAATCGGGAAATATTATTTTGCAATAAATTACTTTTATGAAACACAATTATTCAGCATTAATATAATATACACGCATTAACGTATGCGCATGTGAACCTTCGCCCCAGCCGCGTTACACACATACGCTTTTGTTACTGAGAGCGATGAGCACACACACCCGACTCTCGAAGGAAGACATCGATAGGTCTTTAGGCTCCTCTGACCGCAAATCTGAAGACGAGCGAGTCGAGCCCCTTAACTAGCGACTCTCCATCCGACACTCTTGCAAGTCCTAAACACACCAGGTTCATCTTCCAAACTGGGGGAGGGCGGTCGAGGAGTCCGTGAGGCGTGAGAAGGAATGGATTCCAGTGAAGGAAAAGGATGATGCTATCACGCGTTCAACATCTGGTTAAGTAGCTTCTTTTTATAGTCTTTGAAGCAGTAAGGTTAAATTAGACGTACGGGCTTGTGTGAAAATACTGCCATGTTAGTTATCCCACTCTTCAAATTACGATCCGCTTACTTGTGTTTTACATACGCGGTATCAAATGAGGTAATATGTTGATATTATGCTTTACTTGCATGTCTGTCTTGGTTGTTTGAATTATCTTTATCTACACCCTGTGTATGAAAAATGGCTGGAATTGATATTCTTCAGTATATCAAGATCTGTTAATTTTTATACCTATCCTGTGAGTCTTGTTTAAATGTACTCCAGTATTAAAGCAAAACCCGGTAAAGTACTAATTTTTAATTGAATTTAATTCTGCATACTAATCTTTTATCTACACTGTTATGAAATACTCAGACTTTAATATAAATTAATCTGAACCTTTAAAAACCGTCCATATCAAGATAGAATCTATCTTGTACACTCAAGATTTGTGACTTGGTATCATCATCAGTAAAGAAAGATTTAGGCTTATGGCCCGTAACATGGATTATTTTGATTAGCATATACCAAAATACTAACATACTAACTCTGATAGCTTCTCAAAATACATCGTCAACACTGAACATATGAGCGTGAATTCTCCTTTTTCTCTCCACAGATTAATTGGGTAAGTGCTCGAACACAGATCATATCTGTATCCTTTATCCGCCGACACAATGTTTTAACAACAACTGAACCACTTTAGCTAAGACACAATATGTACAACATTTGGAAATAGAATAGGAAACACGACAAGCATATATCACATTATAATATATTTATCCATTTTTCATATTTTTTTAAAGAACCCATTGGACTACACTCTGTGCGAGCATTTAGACGAATTGCGAGGTAAGATTCGACTGGTTCAATTGTATACGTTGTTTCTTTTTCACACTATTTATCAATACAGCAATATTATTCACAGAAAAATATGCTTGGCCACCATATAGTCAGTACATATCCTCAAACGGATCTGCATGTACGTAAGTCGACTCTCACTTATAGGACATATCATATCACATCTGGGTTGCACCTTCATTAGATTTGTTGAACTGTCTCTAAAATTTAATCACTAGTATTTTCTATTAATTTTCAAACCGAATTGTTCGAGGTTAGCTTTAACACTATTTTAGAAGATTTATATCTTTGTGAAATGTTATCCCACCTTCTAACAACAAAAATAAATTATTGTATTATTTCTTTCATGTATTATTTCTAACACTTTATTAATATTAGTTATTTTTAAAGTGTTGGAAAACTTTCCTTAGTCGTTATGAATACTCTCATAACACGATAGCAAGTTTTACATTCATTTTTCCGAGCAATCATTTTTTTGTTGAATTTGTATTTAAGAACGCAGAACCTCGTCAAACACTCATCAACAATTTCCTCCTTAAACAACAGAGCTCTTTGAACGACGATGAAAAGCTTACTACTTAAACTCTAGCGGAAAAATTTCTTTGCTTTTCCGCCACACCTATGTCGGCCAATCGCGGGCCGCCGGGGGGCGCCGGGTGGGTGCGCCTGGGGGGCGCCGGGGGGCTAGCAGGCGCGTCTGCGGCGGGCCCCTACAGGCGCTGAAGCTGCGAAGCAGTCGGCCTGGAGTCGTGGGCGGCGACGGGGCTGCGGGGTGGTCGCGGCGGAGCGGTCGCACCAGGCTGCCGCCGCCGTAATGCGCGTACTCCAGCGGGTGGTTTGTCCCCAGCTTGGGCTCCGGCCCGCAAGTCTCACGGCCGGTGTGTTGGTCCGCAGATGGTGGCCGTTTCACGGCCTCGCTGCACGGTCGCCGTCAGGATGCTGCAGGCGAAAAGCAGTGTTAAAGTTCGACACCTCCGGGTAGTAATCAACACCAATAGCTCGTTTTTATTTCGCTTTTTTTCCAAAAAATGGTTGTTTTGGGTTTTCCTCATTAAAAGCTTCTTATTAATTAATATACCCTTCACCATCATTTTATAATCTTAAAAAGTAAATGTTAAGTAATTCTTCACCAACTCAGCACCAAATTTGTTTAGCAACAAATAGTTTTTTGTTAGCAATTCTTTTCTAATTTATTTCTAATTTCATGTGACTTATTTTCAGAATTATTTCATTTCTTAATATCAATCATATATTATTTTCCCGGAATCCCGATTGTTCCATTATTAGAGCCCCCGTTTTTCAAACTTACGATTTATTTTAACCTACCCGCGAAGAAGTATGATTCCAGGATTAATTTTGAACACCGGATAACAGAGATAAGTAGCACTCTAAAATAGATAGGGCGTATTTTTATAGCTTAAATCAGATGTATTTTCTGATTTATCAATAAAAGTTAATGTAATTTTTTATTTTATATATTCCTTTAAATGTAACAAGGCCAGCTAACTGCTCATTCACAAACACCCTCGAATAAACGGTCCTTTGGCATCAAAACCAGGGAAATATGGGTAAATAATTTTTTCCGAATTAAAGTCTATAACTTAAGTCTAAAACAGTTAAAAGATGATTTTCAGCACGTTTTCTCTGCCAAACTCCGAACGGATGGCGTATTCTTAGATTTATATTTACTGTTTCACGAAATTTAATTATTGTCCACGCCAATAAAAATTAGTGAACATATGTATTATAAAGTGCTTGTTGAACAATTCTCAAAATAAATGCATTTTGTCATTTGCTTATGAAATTATTTCATTGAAGCCATGCATTTATTCTGGTTTTTTATCACATACTTCTTACATTTCCAAAGACTATGAGACTAGATGCAGTTTTTTAATCTGGGTTTTTTAGTTTCAAATTTTTACAACTTTACAACTTAATTGCAGCGGTGAGGGCTAGATAAGTTTCCATTTCGGCAATTTGCATCACTTGAGTTTACAATACCTTTTTCTTGAATATTTGCAAGTCATGTGGAACATTTCTTTAACCTGAATACTAACGTTTTAAAACGCCGCTAGGTTAAACTTCTACATTTTAACATTCCGGCATTATCATCTTTTTTTAGAATGTTTTACGAACCAAATGAATAATAATGGTGGTAAAAGAGCACCAGATGACCCAGAAAGCCCAGTTAGCTCGCGACCCATTGGCACAGTGGGGCTCCAGCCTGCAACAGCACCGTTTTTCGTTCTTGGTTAGCAGAGGACGTGCGTCATCTGCTGAGAGGCGTGTCGATGACACTCACCGGAAGTTGATCGTCTTTGGGCGTCGATGCGGAGCTGTAGAGGTAAGAAGCGCCAGGCGGTCTGTGAGTGCACCCACACGTTGGCCGCTCTGCGTCCACCTTCCACGTCGTTGGGCGAAGACGAGCGTGCGGGGTTTTGTTCTGCGCCACCAGCCCCGATGGTCGTGGGTTCGGATTAGTGCGGGCGCGTGCGCGAGTTCCAGACATGTGTGGGCCGTCTCAGGTTCAACCTACGGGCAGAGGCGCACGTTTCACGCACATCAATCCACAACCTTCCCTTTCGACAATGCGCCGTAAAACATTTTACATAGACATTCATCGCTATAATAATACAGATTATTATCTTTGTCTTAATTGGCGATAATATTCTGCGCACTGGTCTACAGAATATGTCACTTACAATGTCTGAGCCTTTATATTACTGGTTTATTTTTGTAACGACGATTGTAAGTTAAAATGGATACGATAACTACACATATGAATTTTATGGAGGGCAACGTTAGAGATTCATAAAGACGGCGTAGTGTTCTCCATGACACAATATTGAAAGTGACAGTACTAGTACTTTTTGCAATGGAAATAAATGCACAAAACTTCTGAAAGAGAAAACACGTGCACGAACATGATGTATTTAATAGCTGTAGTGATAGCGCGTGAGCTCTAACGTCCCCAGAG